GTTTTTTCTGTAACTTGTGCTAGTTGTTCTGCCATTTCATTAAAATAGTTTCCTTCATGTGCTTTTACCTTATGTAACCCAATTTGTAGTTTCAAATTCATCTATAATTTCTTTTATAGTCTGAAGTATAATAGGATTTTTGACTTTATTCCATATATAATTCATTTTTCCTTTATTGACTTTGTTCATATTATCTATAGCACACTTGCTATCTGTGTATATATTTACCTGGGAACTTTATGGCATTACTGTTAGTGTTGCTAGTATTGCCATTAATTCTGCTCTAGTTGATGATGGGAATTGTTCTAAGTTACTTTGGAATGTCATATTATTATTTAATTCTTGATCTAAAATCACCCATCACAGGTTCATGTGGTCTTCTTCAAGTATGTTCTTCATTGAACCATCTGTATATACTCCAAAATCTGCTTTGCATAATTCAGAATTATAAAATTTTATATTTAATAATGAATTCAACAGTTAAAATTCTATTTAATAATGAATTTAATGAATTCAACAGTTAAAATTATTAATAATTAGCCGAATATGTAGTTAAATTCTATTCTGCCCAATAAATCAAGCTTTAAATTCAAAAAATAGAAATGTATGATATTAATGGCATTATTAAATATAAGTAATCAACATTTTTGTGAATATTATGAACCCAAATTCCTAGTTTGAACAAACAATTTATCATTTGTTTCTTTTATTACAAATTATTTCATAGTAGAAAGACATGTTCATGATTGTACATATTAAATGATTCTAAAATATTAATAAAATTAGTCCAAAAGAATTGCTTCAATACGCCTATAACTTTAGCACATGAAAATCATGTTTAATATTTTCATTTCTTTTATTTAATTTCTTCATTGTTATCAGTATTATTTCTTGTTCAATTTTATAAATTCTGACATTGGGTTTGAGTTAATTCAATCGATTAGTTTTCTGCTAATTTTGCTTTATATTTAAGAATTAACTTTTATAATAAATATGAAATAAAAATTAAAAAACAATCAGAATAATAAAAGTAGTTAATTTTTTAATGTAATATTCTATTCAATATGCACATGTGTATATAAAATTTATTAACCTGTATCAAAGATTTACATTCTTTATTTATAATGAAAATGAACGAAAGAAATCACAAAAATCTATTTTCTAATAACTTTTGAAATGAATAAACAATTGTTTTTTATAAAAAATAATATTTGATTGAAATATAATCGAAATACAATCAAAATACTAATAAAAAAACAATATATAAAAATACAGATCAACTGAACCATTGAACAACCCGATCAACTGAACAACAGCGGCGAAGTATAAATCTACCGTTCCCATCATTATTGTTATTTTAAAAAAAATAAAAATAAAATAGTTTTCTCTCCTTTCCTTCTTTTTGTAATACATGAAGACTTTAGCCAATCCTTCTTCAATCTGCTGCTGGAATCTAAAGTATTTGCTGTCAAAGATTGAAAGCATATCAAGAGCTGAATCATATTTTTCAAGATACATATCATGCCATATCACACTTTACTGTTGTAGAAGTTCTATTTTTGTTGCTTGGTGTTGGTGTGTTATTTTGTAATTCTTGTTGTTAATTGTTGCTATTATTGGTTATTGTAAATGATGTTTGTTATTGTTAAGAATCTTGGCCTTTTTTTTGGAACACTTTGTTGTTTCTGTTGTCGTTGTTTGGTCATTAATATATTTCCTATTTGTTGAAGCTGTCTTTTGATTACGCAGTTACTGTTTGTCTTCACGTCAATACTATTTTAATAATAAAATAATTAATAAATATAAAGGAGATTTTTATTTAAATGAAAGAATTTTTTAAATTTTTTTTATTATTGATTTCAAAAATTAATAAAAAAAAATTTCTTTCATTCATCTGCAACATATTTAAAATTTTTATTAATTTAATTAATTTAATTACAATTCTAGAAAGATAAATTATATTATGTATATGATGTAATTAATCATATTATATATATGATGTAATTAATCATATTATAATTATTTTAATTAAAAAATATATATACACAATTTAAAATATTGTAATAAAAAATAAATAATAATGAAATCAAATATATTTAAATTTTTTTTATAAAAGAAATATTTCGAAAATACCGCGCGAATCACATGATTTTTCAACCAATAAATACTTCGAAAGTGGATTAGCGTTTTTCAAAATAACAAAGATAATCGGATAATTTCGATGATGCTATGCCATATATGTAAAATAATACATTTGGCTCAAAAAAATAGCATTTTCCATTTTAATCTGAGGCGCAGACAAACAATTAATCTCGAGAAAATGATTAAATTTTTATTTATGATTCTATTCTAGAAATTTCCATATTTGTTCTGCGTAACTGATCGAAAGAAAGATTTTGCTTAAAAAATATATTTAATATGATGCAATATTGAAAATTAGTTTTATTGAATCTGATGTAATATTTGTAATATTTATAATATTTGTAAATTATTTTATTAAAAATGCTATAATATAAAAGATATAATTTGAGATCTATAAATAAGACAAAAATTAATTTTTTTTTTTTCATTTTTTAGATTCAATTCAAAAAAAATAAAAAATAAAAATAAATTTATACCAAAATTATTAATAAATATTATAATAAATCTAAACTTCAAATAAAAAATTCTCTTAAATAAAAATATTTTCGAAAATGGTCTTTACTAGAGCACAATACCAACTACAACTACAACAACAGCAACGACCACAACAAGAACAGGAACAACAGCAACAACAGGAACAACAGGAACAACCACAGCAACAACAGCAACAACATTCGCAACAACAACCACAACAACTGCCACGACAACAGCAACAACATAGAGGCCGCGGAAGGCCTAGAAAGAATGCTAATAATCAACAACAACAAAATTGTACGAAAAGAGGTCGAGGGAGGCCGAAAAAAAATGCCGACCAAAAGCAACAACAACAACATCCACAACAACAACCACAGCAACAACAACAGCACTCTAATCTTCATATGTTGGCCACAATGGCTGTGAGCCAATATCGACAAGAAATTAAAACTGCAGTTGGCAAGAATCAAAAAGATTCATTACATGTGCTGGCTGCAGTTTCGATTGAAGATGAAAAACGGGCAACAAAGAGGAATCATAGTGAAATCGAAGGTATATATATATATATATATATTTTTAATTTAATTTAAAGTTTTATGATAAAAACGAAATGAATAAATAATATAATTAATAGGTGACGGATGCAATGATGAGAAGGATAAATATAATAACAATAATAAAGGTGATGAAAGTGATGATGACGAAGATAATGATGGTGGTCCGGGTGGATATAAGAAAAATAAAATGTCACGTAAGTATTTTTTTTTTTATTAAGAATATTAAATTTTAATTATTTATTTTTTTCATATTTTAAAAAATATATATATATATGTTTTCTACAGTCGATTTTATTTTACAAGGCGTTTGTTGTTGTTGAATTTTTTAAAAAATTTATGGTTTAATGAATTTTTTATAATTTTTTTTTAATTAAATTGTATATATATTATATATATCTCATCAATAAATTTTATTCCATGGTACATGAAAAATTTTTTTTTATTCAAATGTTATATAATGATATGGTGGCTTCGAAGAAATTTATTTTAGCAAACTCATAATAAGAATTGTGCTGTATTGCCGATGTTTATAGTATAGTTCTTAATGTTTAATATTAAATTTACAAAAATTGTTTGCTTCGTTGGGGCATTTTAATGTTATGTCATCTTCTTCATTCTTGGTATTAAAATATTTAAGATCATAATATTCGATGACGATGACTTATATGCATATTATTATTATGATATACTAAAATAATGACTAAAGAAAAATAAAAAATCTTCTATTTACATATGTCAGTTTTTGATGATTCGATATTAAAATTATGCCAAATCGGGATTGCTTATTCATCTTTATTCAGATATATATAAAAGAAGAATATGAAATCTAATTCAGAGATTTAAAAAAAATTTTTGAAGTTTGCAATTAGTCAGAATTAAAACTAATTTTGTTCCAAAGGTAAATAATAAACATCATTGTGATTAATGCTATGGTTAAAATTAAAATTAAAACGATGATATAGTTGAAATTGTTTATTTGTAAATTTTTTTTATAGATAGACAAAAGTGTGCCTTAGAAAGATAAATAATATTCACATCTCAAAGCTAGATGAAAAAGGGATGTTTTAGAATGATGATTTTTTTATATTTTTTATTTATTTTACTTTCATTATGTATTTTGAAATATCTTGACATTTAAATTAAGGCTGACAAAGAATTCCTATAATTTTATTATTTTTTGATTTATTATTTAAATATACATACATAACATGACTAACAAATAAATATCACACACAGAGAAATCCTGGTTTATTAATATATTCTTAATAGGATTTATTTATTATTTTATTTAAAAATAAAATAATAAATTTTAACTATCTAGATGATGTAAACAAACAATTTATTTTTTTTATTTTTTATTTATTTTTCGGTCATTTCCTCTAATCCCACAAAAAAAAAGTTGTCATGTGGCTGTGGTCTATGTCGGTCGACAACGCTAACAGAGAGAGATATATGTAGAAAGTTCGTTGGAACTTTCTCCATTTTTTTTTACCTAAAGTATAAACACATAAATTCATTCAACAATAATAATAATACAAGAGTAATGATAAATAATAAATCATAAATCAATTGATATAAAGTAATTGAATGTGTAAAAAAAGTCGATTCGAACATTTTTGTTATTCAATTTTTTTAAACCAGTGATTATAATTCTTCTGCTATTTCAGCATCTTGATTCCTAATTTTAGCAGACTACTTGTTTGAAGTATAGAATAATTTATGAGAAATTAAATTAGCATTCTCGAATTATATGAACGTATTAATCAAAAATATTGCATAGTAATAATAAAATCTAGAAAATTATTTCTACCTGATTATTCTTTTAAAAGATTTACAATAAGTTACTAAAACTTCTAAGAATCTAAATTTAAAAAATTCAGTAATGATTTAGATAATTTAATTCCTCAATAATTATTTATGAATAATTTAATTAAATTTTCAAAACAATATTTTAAAATAAATAGCAATAAAATAAACCTATATAATTCACCTCAACTCCATTCAATACATCTCCATACTGATTAAACTTTAAAGTTTTTTTTTTTCTGAGTTTAATAAAAAAAATTTACTGTGAATATAGATATATTTATATTACTAGTTTAAACTTTTATCATTGTACACTTGGATATCATTCATCTTAATAAGAATTAACAAATACTATGAAAATAATAATTAATTATTATACATTAATAATGTATATTGTGAATAAAGAATTTGAATAATTTTATATCGATACAGAAAATATGGATGTTTAAATTGATGAGTGTTGAAGTTTGAGGAATTATCTGAGATTAGAAAATAACCTTATTGGATCCAAAACTTCTTGGTTAAGAATTCATTTCTCTTTAGTTTTTCAATAAATTTTAAACATAACAAATTTAAAAAATAAGTAAAAATTTTGTAATGATATCATTTTTGAATCTGTAGAACTCACTTCTCTTCTTTAATTAATTTGGGATTATGTAATTAAGTAGGGAACTGCATGGAATCCTGCTTCACCTAGAAAATTGGAAGTTAATTCTACTTAACATAATTATTAAATCATAACATTAAAAATTATTGAAAACTTATTCATTTATTGGATTGGTAATATCATTTTCGAAATGATTGTTTTAAATATTGTTGTAGAGTTTTTTCAGAGTAATAAAGTCTCTCTTTATTTTCCAATTCTTTTCTGTTCTAATTTTTTGTCAATTCTAATTAGAAATGTATGCCTGCCAAATTATTTAAAATAGCTACCTCATATTATTTTGGTTCTTCATGCATTAGAACCATAGCAAGGTAATTAACATTAGTTAAGTTTAGAAATATCAAGATTAAAAATTTTTATATTTAATAATTTAAAATATTATAAATTATTATGATACTATTCAATTGCTATCCAAAGTCAAATAAGAAGATTATGAGGTAATAATGAATACATCTAAAACTATCAGGAAATTAATTAATGATGATTAAAGATGAATAATAATAATTAATAATGATTATATTAAGTAGATGGTATCTTATTGTATAAATCTTTTCTTTTCTTTTCTTTCTTTCTTATCTTAAAAACAACAAATAAATATAATATAATATAAATTTTATCTACGTTTTTCATTGAAAGAAGTGTTTTCAACTAATCAATTATCTACTTAATCTTGCGATAATTAATTATAATGTTATGCTAATTTTTTTTTCTGATTTTTTATTCTATTAAAGTTTTTATCTTTCGATTATATATTTGATTTTGATATTGTAATATATTAAACAATTTTTTAATTTTTTTAATAATAATAAATTTAAACAATGATATAATATAAATTTTACTATTTAAACAAATTGTTTAAGTTTACTTTTGATTTCAATTATATGTAATAACAAATTAAATATTAGACACTATGAGGTTATGAGGTACTTTATTATATAAAGAAACGTTTATTTGTTAATTTATTTCTTTTGAAATCATGTAAAATACTTGGCGGGCGATAAAACGAATATCTAAGTCCTTTATAAAAATTAATATTCGAAGGGCGTGACACCAGGTGATAAAATCATTAACTAAGTATACTTTGCTGATCATAAACCCAGTCATTATTGGATCATCAGGAATCACATGAACAAAATTCAAAAAAGTTGTTTATTTTCTTTTGTTTTCTTCACTTTATTTTGGCTATCTCTAACCACGCGAAGAAATATCCAACGCTTTAACAACTACATCCAACCGCGTTTAAACCCTCACAAATAACTTAAACTTTATAAAGATGGCAATAAATAACGAAAAATCATCCCAAGAATGGTATTGGGTTAACTTAATGGCCAAAACTTGAGAAGTAAGTATTGTAAATGGCAAAAGATTCGGGTGGAAAAAAATACTTTCTTTTAAAAAAAGAAGTATATTCAAATAAAACTTAGGCTTAAGAGATTAGAAATTTGTAAAAAAATGATAGAAAGTTTAGTAAAACTCATGAAAAATATGTGAAGACAGAATTATTAAAGTAATAGATTTTATAAACAAACGTTTTCTTTGTGAAAACTATTTTGTTTTTATTAAATAGAAAGTTTCTTTAGACTATCTTTTATCTCTTATGAACACATTTTGATTAATTAGTTTATTTTTGTTTACTTTAATAGCAATAAGTTCCCTCTCAAACTTCTTTTGATCCACCTGCTCCCATGGACGAAGAACAAAAGGCAATCACTAAGGCCATAGCAGCTGAATATACCAATAAACACCGCCAAGCCATCTATAGAACTGTGGAATATGTCCAACAGAAAAGAAGAAGATTTAGTAAGGCAGATGTGGCAGTCATTACAACAGGTAAATCTTTATAAAATTAGCTTAATCTATACTATATGATTTTATTATAGAATTGTAACTAATTTATTTTTTATTATTGGAAGAAGATTAGCCAAAAGATATTCACCTTTATTTCTTCCCCTTTAAATGATAGGTAAAGTTATTCAATCTTAATTATGTATATTTAATTATCAGATTATTATCAGTAATTCAATTTATTTTTCTATTTTCATTTATAATTGCTTTTTAATTTGCTAAATTTATTAGTGAAAAGAAAGTCTGTGAGGTAGCAGTTCGATTAGTAAGGCTTACATTGGTATAAGTTTCATACTTTAAATTCATTGTTTTTTTTTAAAAAAAAGATTATTTAATAAACAATTTAATAAATTATTTTATTGAAGGTTAAGCTTAGATTAGGAATCGCTCGTTTCAATGCAGGCGTAAAAACTATGAAAATCATGCTTTGCGTCAAAAAAAAGGAGATTGTTGATACTGGATATGATGTGTGTAATGTAAGTAGTTTTTTTGATTAGCGATGATGGTTAACGCAATAATTAAACAATTCTCATGATTATCTAGTAAGATTCATGCTCCAGAAGATGAAAACAATATTGATGTTGTCAATGTTGATTTGAAACCTGACTCTCACTACACTGAAGCAAGGAAGATGGAACTTTACAGATGGGATTTTTATTTGAGAAGAAAATACCAAAATTAGAGCATATCTTTTTTTTTATGATTTGCTTCTAATTATTGCTATCAAATGTTCCTTTCTTATTCTTTTTTTTTCAGTAGAATAGCGTCCACCTGTTGATCAAGACCTAAAAGAAGACTCGGATTTGACATTTTTATTTTATTTCTTATTTTTCTTATCGTTATTTTTTTTAATTATCTTGAAAATTTACTAACTTTTTATTTTATTATATTCTTATCTTATCTTATTCTATTTTTATCTTTTTTTTTTATCTTACTTATTTTTATCTTATTTTATTATTTTATCGATTTTTTTGTTGTTGTTGACTCGCACAGAAGTAAGTGAGGGTGGGAGCTTCTTCTTCAGCCATAATGGTGGGCGGGTGTCACAAGACAGCCATTTGATTAAATGCATTTATATAAATTTTTAAATTATTTTAAAGATTAAGAATCATTTTTTATTATTGAATAAATGTACAGTAGAATATGAAAATTAATTTAAGTGATCGAACTATATTTGCCAATTATTTTTTATTTTTTTATTTTTTATAATTTTAAAATTTAACTTCTTTTTTTTTGCAAATAAATTGTATATCTTTATTTTTATTTATGGTGGGCCGAAAGGTTAGTGTCAAAGCATAAATTTCAGTTATCATTTTTCTTCTTATTCATTTCATTAACAAACTCCTTTACTAATTCATTTTTATTTTATTCCAGCGATGTTCAACAACCCAAAAAAATCATTTTATTCCTAAATCTAAGCTTGTCGTGTTTCGGGAACTGTCCCACAACATGAAATCTAATTGATATCATTTGCTCAACTATTAACTTTAGCGGAAAAAGATATTCGAGAAAAAGTATCGATCAGGTGAAACTTATTTGAAGTTACAAAACATACATATTTAAAAAAACAAATTTATTAGAATTATTAAATTCCGATCTCATCTACCACTGTTCCAATTTCAATTAATTGCGATCATTCAATAGAAGTATTTAAAGGTTCTAATAAATATGTTGCAGTAAGTATTTATTACTATTTTGTTTACTTGATCGATGTTGACACTTTTTCATTTTTTTTTGAAAATAAATTGTAGACAGTATAAACAACAAATAAAGAAACTTTGGTTTGTACAACGTGAATAGATACGGAATAGAATTTTGAGGCTTGGTAGTGGTATTATTCATTAGGTTCTTTTAGAGAATTATATGACACCTAGAGAACTCATGCTTGGAATTGGTAAAGAAAAAGATTTATTCTACTATCTAAAAGTAATTATTGTGTTTAATGTATTTCAAGAGTTATTATATTTTATATTGATAATAACATAACTCTCTGGGAATTTAACTGGATGTTCTTGTTTGCCACGATTGATATGATTTTCATTGTCATCACGGTTATTCTGGTGATATTAAATATTATTTTATTTATTGTAATATGCAATAAATAGGGAGGAACGGGTCATATGGTTGAATATTGATCAAGAAATTATCTTATACAGGGATGTATTATGGAAGCAGAGGTTAGTGATAACGATAACGTATAGTATTCATTCATAATGTTGCTTTTATCCTAATTAACCTAGAATATATCAATGCTCATTAAAAAGTGATCTTGGTATTTGCTCTACGAAATGTAAATCAGATGTTATATTTAGATATAATTTTTGTAAAAGAATTCATTCTTTTATTTTATTTTATTTTATTTTTTTTTTTTGAGGGATAACTTAACTTTTTAATTAATACTATTCATCTTCAAACCAAACCATGAATGTTGAATGTTGTAGGTCCGTCGAAAGCAATTGTTTCAGCATCACGTTTTACCAATTTTGGTTAATCAATTACGATGCCGGGTTAGGGTTTGACTCTACTTCAGCATTACATTTGTAGTAGGTTAGGGTTTGCCTCTGCTTCAGTGTCATTTTTCAAGGATGCTTTTGCTCCTGCTTCAGTGAGTTCGGCTTTAGTGTTTGCATCTGCTTCGGGGTCACATCTGTAGTAGTAGTGGGGGTTAGGGTTTGCTTCTGCCTCAGCATCACGTTTGATGTATTGCGCAGAAGAAGACAATGGTGAATGAGCACACAAAAAGATGACGAGATTTGAATTCATCTTGAATTATTTTTTTTTTGCTTAACTCGATATATAGTGAGGAATCGAAGCTGGCGGTTTATACATTTTCGACAGATTGCTGAAGCACAATGGAAACTCACGACCAAATCTTACCGAAATTATTATCTGTGATGCAAATTTTGAATTTGGAATGTCAAAGGGTTAAATTGTAAATTTTAAATGTGTAAGTCGATTTTCTTAATTTTTTTATATATTTTTAAATTTGTAAAACATTTAATAATATACAAAATCCTTTTTTATTAAATTAAAACTGATCCTCCTTTTGTCACGACTGAATTTAATGGTTCAGTTGAAATTTTTCATTGATAGGTGCAAAAAATAGTCCAGAACAGTTCAACCAATTATAGTCAAAAAAAATTATTTTATTAAATGATACTTCATCCATCTCATTATTGATCTATTAGCTTAATAACTCTTACTGAAGATCAAATGGCTTTTAAATTCATTAATTTGGCAGTCACTGAAATAATTGATGCCTTTTCTAATTCTTCATCCTTAAGAAAACTATGCAATATCAACAAGAAATTAGAACCATCTCTCTTCCAAAGCAAATACGTATTTGTGTGGTCTAGGTGTGAGAAACCATATAAAAAAAAGCTTTTCAGATTTATTATAAACTTGCCGATAAAGGGTCTCTCTTATAGCTTTGAATACTGTAGCATATTGTTATTATAATGGATTTGATGTTGAAAAAAATGAAGAAAAAGCATTTGAATTGTGTTTGAAGTCAGTAGGAAATGAAATCATGTGGCACAATTTAATGTTGGCAAGTGTTATAATGACGGAACAAGAATAATGAAAGATGAAGTTAAAGGGTTTCAATGGGTAATAAAATCTGCTCTTGCTGGAATATTAATTCAATGTGCAATGTTGGATATAGTAATGAGAAGGATATGGTCGTTGGTAAAGATAGAAAAGGAACAATTTAAATGGTATCTGAAGGCAGCCGAAAAAGAATTTAATATATTACAATGCAATGCAGGAAATTGGAATAAAAATGTTTACGGAATTAATATGGATCAAGGTGAAAGCAGTTGAATGGTATAAAAAAGCTAAAGAAAATTTTAATACCAATAGCCAATACATGCTTGGATTATGCTTTTATGAAGTTTTATGGAATTAAAAAAAATGTTAAAAGCTATATACTGGTTTGAATAAAGCGAAGGAAAATGAGAATACAGATGCAAATGAATCATTAAAGAAATGAACAATAATATATTGTAACAGTTAAAAAAATAAAACATCAATAAGATGATGAAGACATTTTATTGTTTTTTAACTAAATATATTTTCGAATGCATTGAAATTTTTTCATTTACAATCAATATTATCGCAGTTTTGGATTTTTTTTTATTAAAAACAAATATTTAAAATAACATATTTCTAATGAGATAAAGATGAATCTAAATACATACTCGAATTACTATAATATAATATATGTGTAATTAGTTTATAATTGACTAGAGAATTGTTATATATTTAAATAATTATAAATCTAAATAACTAACTCACTATAATATTCACCATAAGAAAGTATTTCCCAAATCACTACCTTCTACTTCTTCTAAATCATCCTTAGCAATTTAACAACAATTTAACAACAATTTAACAACAATTTAACAACAATTTAACAACAATTTAACAACAATTTAACCCGCGATAAATCAAAAAAAATTTTAAAGTTTTACCATTAACTCTCCCATATTGAACGTAACCACACTTTTTGGATTCGAGAATATTCGTCTGAATAAATCAAAAATGATGAAATTATGAGTTAATTTTTTTTTTTTTTTTTTTTTTTAATTCCAACGGAGTCATGCAGTTGATAAAAATTAAACAAATTTATAAGAACTACAAATACATTTAATACAACTGGCTATGGCTAAATTAATAACACAACGGCCCGACCCATCGTTGCCCTAGTGTTACCTAAAACAACTGATGGTCATAACCCCGCCCATTGAAATTATGAGTTAATTATTAGGAAAATTTTTATGAAATTTTATAAATTTTTATGTGTACCATGTATATATATAAAGAGAATATAGTTTTATTACTAACCATCATTATCAGGTTTATGATCATTTGACATAGGAGCAGCTATTCCATCAACACTGAGAACTGCACGAGAATCCCCAGCATTACCCTAATATATATATATATATAATTATGTATATGTATTAATATTATTTTATTGAAATTAAAGACTATTTTTATTTTAATTTATTCTGTGTTTAAAACATAAATTTCGTTATTTGGAGTTATGACACCGCAACTGCGGCGCATCCGGAAGGTTCATATTTAAATTCTGAATCTAGTATGTTGGAATGGAAGAATTAAAATAATTTCAATATTAAAATCTATAAGATTCACAAAAATAAGTATAAATATAATTAATCTCAAAAATATGTACAAACCTTATTTTAATTTTTCATCTGTCCTTAGAAAACCGTTTTTTATAGCTGACTCAAGATTTTCACCAAAGTCAGGGTCTTCAACGATACAATTATGAAGATATTCACCACTATATTTAGCAGCATTTTCACTTATAAATGGCAAAGGGAAAAATATATATATATAATTTATTTGATTCATCAAAGAATAACTAAATGAATTAAATTAAATTTATCGAGATGCCCGTCATAAACACCAAAAAAAACTAAATCCTTTTTTACCTGAAACTTGCAATAGAGTAGTGTGCTCATCTTCCATCTCAATACGCCAACCTTGCATGGATGATGAAGCATATAAAAGCTCTCATCATGATCAACAGCTGAGTGTTTGTCTTTTACTGGTGCAGACAATGTTTGTCTCATTTTTTACTTATGTACGAAAAATATCGGAAAACGAGAAAAAAATAAGGAAAAAACACGATGAAGCTTAAGTTATTAATAAAATGGTTGTTGATTATTTAGATGTCTCTCAAATAACGTAGTATAACGATCAATGAATATAATCAGTAACGATATATCAAATCTTCTGAGATTTCTATAGAAAATTATCAACAACTTCGTATTTCATTCATTTTATTCATACCTTTGAAAATCTTTCTTTTTTTTCAGAAACAATTAATTATTGTAATACGAGTATTAAAAACGTGACCTGAGCGGCATGATTGTATAACGTATATATTATTAAATGGGAATTACTTTATTTATTTTTTTTTTTTTTATATCCAACGGAGTCTTGCTCCAATAAACTTTATTAATAGATTAAGTGTAAATTTTAAAGA